TTTTTTTTTTTTTTGTAGATTTTTTGGGGGGCGTTAAAATGTATCGAATCGACCGTTGCATGCAACTTACTCAGATGTGGATGCGCTGGCAGGGAATGAAACAACAACAGGGGATCTAACAGCAGCTGTAGCTCACTGTATTTTTCCCCTCATGAGAAAAAACAGTAGCTGATATATACTGTGTTCCTGGCTGGGTGTCTCAGCCCCAGCAACAATGAAGGGGAAAAAAGCACAAAGGGACCTTTATACTAACATGTTAGCTGTAGGATTATTTGTAAAATGCTAACAATGGAACCAAACACCCCTATGTCTATGTACTGCTGTGTCACCATAGGTTTACCCTATGGATTATCTGAGGCTGCCCCCCTATGTTGCAGAAATGTAATGCAAACCTTTTTTTTTTTTTTTAAAAAAGGACCCATTTTATGCCACAATGCAGAGACAAGCCCTGTCACTAGTATGTGTTTTTTTTTTAGAAATACACTGTCATTATGTGTGGAAACAATATTCACAGACATGCATATTACAAAGTAAATTTAAGTCATTTAACACTCTGATTGCAAACCCCCACCCACTCTCCCCCGTGGAAATAAAGCTGTTGATTATGTGCAATCTCACAAATTCACTTCATCCTCAGCCACATTAAAGCTCTTTGTGTATTTAGTGAATCACCATTTCACCCTAATTTTGGTCATTTTGACTAAGCACGTCATACGTCAGTCACCCTTCCTTTATCCACGCAGCGTTGCTTGTTTTTCTACACCCTGTGATTTCGTGCCTGCAGTCTGGCCGATGAACCCGTGTTTGTCCTTCTCTCCTACAGCCACAGCCAAGCTTTGGGCTGTTGTTCGACATTGATGGCGTGCTTGTCCGTGGGAGGATGCCAATCCCTGCTGCAAAAAAGTCGTTCGAGAAGTTGGTCGACTCTCAGGGACAATTTGTGGTGCCAGTTGTTTTTGTCACAAATGCAGGGAATTGCCTCCGACAAACAAAAGCAGACCAGCTCTCTCACATCCTGGGAGTGCCTGTGAGTTGTCAAGCTGCAGAGAGAAATTGCTATAGAGGCTTAATGACTGTTCTATGTAGATCCTTTTTATTAATCTGGTGTCCCATGTCACCTCTGCTATTAACCCCTTCCAACCCTTGATCTATTTCTAGATTACACAAGATCAAGTCATCATGTCCCACAGTCCCCTGAGGATGTTTAAGAAGTTTCATGATAAGTGTGTGCTGGTGTCAGGACAGGGACCAGTCCTGGAAATCGCTAAAAAGTAACCTGGATTCTTGCTTTGTTACGCTTTCTGCTTGTGATACATTTAAATTAGATTTGCATAATACTCTTCATTTGTCCTCAACCCTCTGTTTTTAGTGTGGGCTTTAAGAATGTTGTCAGTATTGATATGCTGAGGGAATCATTCCCATTGCTGGACATGGTGGATCACAACAGGAGACCTAAACTGCCGGTGAGATATTCAAATCTGGTGCAGAAATGTGTCGATTATATAAACATCAAACTGTTCTTAAGTCACACACAACAGCACATGTTTAGTTTCTCTTCTTTTATTTCAGTCCAACCCACTTGGCAACCTTCCTAAGGTTGAAGGTAAGAACATGTACCTCTTACTTTAAACGTTTATCAGTCTCATAGTTGCTCACTGGCATCGGTTTGTTTAATATTGATATCAAAGTGATTTATCATTCAACTTTTAATTCCACGTACAGCTGTGATTCTGTTTGGGGAGCCAATCCGATGGGAGACCAACCTGCAGCTGATAATTGACCTCTTGTTGACCAACGGTAACCTCAGCAGCATTCACAAAACCCAAAAGATGTCTCACCTCCCCCTGCTGGCCTGCAACATGGACCTCATGTGGATGGCTGAGGCACATTCTCCACGGTAACCTTTACAAAGAAATCAGTGCTTTCACAGATTAAATTTATTGACATTATCAAATTAAGCACAGTCTCTCGAAAGCTGCCAAATGTAAATATATATCCCCTTGTATTCAATTCTGTCTCAGGTTTGGCCATGGGACGTTTCTTGTGTGCCTAGAAAACATCTATAAGAAGGTAACGGGTCAAGACCTGAAGTATGATGCCCTCATGGGAAAACCCAGTGAGCTGACCTACCATTTTGCTGAGTACCTCATCAGAAGCCAGGCCATGCAGATGCAGTGGAAACATCCCGTCACTTCACTTTATGCTATAGGGTACGTTGTTTTTTTTCTTTGCACTGTATGTAGGTAGTATGGAATAAACTAGGGAAGTGATGAGACTTGAATAAAAAGAGAACAGGAACAAATACTGCATACCAAACTTAAGTTAACTTCGCATGGCTTTTTATTTGCCAGTTACTGGAAAGTGTTTTTCCTCACATTTTGACTTGCAATATTTAAAAAACGGAAAGGTCTAATGCGTTGCTCAATAATCCCGTGAGAAACATCATATAAAATACAGAACTCTGAAATTTCAACTGCCCACAAGCATGCTAGAGAACATATCACACCTTCCTTGCATGTTTCACTTCAACTTTTTATCACGAGTGTTGCTTTTGTACTGGTGCAGCTGTTCTGTGTTCGCATGCCGGCACTACATAATTGCTTTAATTGCTCCTTCACCGGTGGAGTAGGATAGAGCAGCAGAAAATAATCACATTGTTGCACATATCAGTATCCAGGCTAGCTTTGTGCTCACTGCCTGAGGCACTGAATAATCTCTTCCCACTTTCTACACTCTCAGGGATAACCTTATGACTGACATCTATGGCGCCAACCTATACAACCGCTACCTGGAGGAGAGAGTTGCAAGAACGAACCCCAAAGCCATTGCTAAGATGGTGACCGCCACAGGGTCCGCCACTACCGTGCCCCAGCAGGAGGAGCTCGACAACATGTGGGAGAGCGAGCTGGCGCTGCCCGCTGCCACCTCCTGTAAGTCTGTCCTAGTCTGCACGGGGGTCTACAACCCCAACGCAGAGGTGCCGTCTGATGCAAATCACTGCATCAAAGAGACTGTGTTCCACGGGCACCGGGACTTCAGATTTGACCCTGCACTGGTGGAGCCCGGCTACATTGTGCAGGATGTGGCAGAAGCTGTTGACCTCATCTTTGAGCAGGAGAAGTTTGTGCCTCAGTAGAGTTTTGAGCCAACAGGTTTTGTGTGATCACGGAGGTCCCAGTAGAGAAAGAGGGAGGGGGGCAGGGCATTAAACTGGGTATACCACTTAATGCATAAACCTGTAGGAGCCTAACACTGTGGACTTTGTTTGACAACCTGACAGGGCATTGATAAATATGGGTCACCTTCTAAACTTTAAACTTTGAGACAAACTTTAGAGAAAATTAATCATGTAACTGTTACTGTCAACCTCTCTTTTATATTGTTTTTGTGATAGTCTTTAATTACAGGTTTTTTCATTAAGGAAAAGTGTAAGAACGGCCTTATTTGACCCAACTAAGTATTTTTTTAGATGATAGTAATGTTTTAGATAATTACAAATCCTGAAACCATCCTATATTTATTACAAAGATTTACCAGTGTTTTTAAGAAGCATATTCAGATAACATTTGACCTATTATTATACAGGCTACTTTTTATTATTGCATTTTTAGTCATTTATCCTGGAAAATCTATGCATGAATATGAGAGTTATACTTTTACTGTAAAACAACTGTTTGATGTGCAATATTGTCCTCTAATCGTACTGCCTGTCTGCATTTTGTCTAGATGTGAGAGCGTTGACTAGTATTTGCACAGATCATCTTTGACTTTGTCAGACTTTCATCTTTGTTAAATGTTACCATATCGTCATAACCTGATTATCATAATATAGAAAATAATTTTTATGCTTTAAAATTGTAATTCCAGAAGCAAAAGCTATTTAGTACAATGCCAATCAAAAGATTTTACCACTTCATATTTGACCATTTGTAGTAATTTACTCATTGTAAATAGCGTAACTTAAGAAAATATAAGAATTAGTTACACATGCTTTTGTTGTTACAAACTGTTTGTGTGATTTTTCTCTCAAAAATGAACCACAACTTATAAGAACTGGCCATGGTATTGATCACTCTGTGGAGGCACCTGTAACAGGCAGCAATGTGTATAGTTTTCTACAAGATATGCAGAAACTCTTTATGCTTTTAAACATGAATGCTTAACTAGCTCACAGACATAGACTGATGAGTATTTAGCCATTTCCAATTAGGTTTCAGTCATTTCCAATACAACTGCAAGCCCAAAATAGTTCTCAATGCTCTTTTGTTAGTGTATCTGTACATTTCTTGAGCTTTAACCAAAAATTCTACAGTGTATAGCATATTATAACGTGCAGTCTACGGCACAGGACCTTTTAGGTTACATTGTAAAAAAAAAAGGCAGTTACACAGAAGAAGCGTCAGGAGACATGGCTGTAGCAGTTTAGCGTTTAAAAACAACTTTATTGCAAAAACACCATGTTTTGTTATCGCCCTCAATTCTACTTTCCATTGTGTAGTGTTTTTGTAATTCCACCGTAGTAGACAAAGAGGTCCCTCAGGTAGCCTTTATCTTTATATTGTGCTTCTTGTGCAACACATCCAGTACTTGCGGCAGTAACTCCATGTTGATAAGTGGCTTTTCTTGATCCTCCTCGTGAGTGAGAGAGTCAGAGTACGGCCTGGCCTCTGACAGTGCAGAGTGCAGCCTCCTCCTGTGTTTGGGCTTAAGTGAGCGCAAAGAGTCGGCCTCCAATCCTGAATGTCTCTCATCTATGTACAGAATGAAGGTGGAAGTTTTGGCTAGTCTCAAGGTCATCAGAAGCAGAACAATGAGGCAGCATAGCATCACTCCCATCATGGTGTTATAAGCCGCATCTGTACAGTTTTCCAGGGCATAGGAAGAAAAGGAGTCATCACTGAGTTCAGTAATGGCTTTCTGAGCCACAGAGCTTGGACTGGCACAAATGGGCTCCTCTGAGACAATATCCCTGTTCTTCAGCAACCAGTTCCTCAGGTATTGGATCCTACTGTCACAGTGGAAGGGGTTCCTAGATAGTGAGACCCTTTTCAGACCAACCAATTTGTCAAACAGGCCGGAAGGCACTGAGGTGAGCCGGTTGTTCTGCACATAGAGCTCTGTGGTGCCTGAGGGCAGACGAGGAAGCTCCATGAGGTTTAAAGAGCTGCAGTTAACTTGTAGACCATCAGACAGGAGGTCTGAACATAGGCAGGGTTGGCAAGTATTGTGTGCACTTGATGTGTCCAGGAGAAGGAGGACAGCTAAGCTTAAACCGGAGAGCATCCTGCAGGATTAGGAACATGTTATTCTGTATTTGTACTGTTAATTTCCAGTTTGCATAATAATAAAAACACAGAGGATGCTTTAGATGATTATCCATAGATCTGTGTTAGGGCTAAATTAACATTAAGCAAACAAAAACAGTCTTTATTTAGAATGTTCTTAATTGTTTACTGCAAAAAAAAGAATACATCTATAGGTGAACAAAATTAAATATAGCTGTGCATCCTTAATCTTTCCTAAAGAAAAGTATTCAGATATATCCAAATGACAAAGTGAATGTAAAATCTCCCCTATTTTAAAATGAAAAAGGAATACAAACCTTTTAGAGTCAAACCAATATGGAAGTTACGTCTTGTGGTTCCAATCATCCTTAAATTATCATACTGTTCTGCTCTAATGTTGCATTTCAGCTTAAGAGTATCCAAAAAGTTCCTGTGAACTCAAGGTGTCCCCGTTTTGTAACGGGCGTGTTATTAAACTCTGAATAATAATCGCACACCCCACACAGGGCAACGTCAGTGTGAGCAACGCACCAATAGCACTGCACGGTTATGGTGCATTTGACATGAAGGAAATCCATCTGCTTAAATGAGATAAGAGTTCTATAATCTATAAAAAACAGCGGCTGGGGCTATCTGAAGCTCTCCCACACAGTGTTTATTACTGACATCCATTACAGTGCCGAGGGCACAGGGGGCACTATACTACAAAATACAGCTTGGAGCATGCACAGCTTTATGTGAATTTGAATTTACCTACAAGATATTTGAAAGCCAAATACTGAGCTAATAATGAGTTTGAGGCCAAAGAAAATTCTGGACATAAATCGTGGCTGAATCCAAGAAAATCTACAATCCAAGAAAGAATTTTACATTTCTACAGCTTCAGAGAAGTGGTTTAAAGCTGAGAGGTAAGAGTAAGAACAATCACTCACTGATCCTATGAGGATCTGTGCAGCAGGTACACTTTTCGCCCATAGGTGGAGTAATGGCACAGATTTTCCTTTCCCTTTGAAAGCACTTTAATGCATGCCCTCTAGTGGAAATGCTGCAACACTAGTGGAAAGTATCACTGGAGGAAGATATGAGAGTCTAATGATAAGGCACTAATGTGATATGCATTATACAAAAAAGGGGGAAATCCTTTGATTTACACTGACAGCCGACTCAGTGTTCAATAAGAAAAAGCATTTTCTACGGAATGGTAACTTCATATACACCAGAGAGCAAGAACAACACATGCGTACCATAAGTCATATATTCGTTTATTTTGCTTTCTCAACATTGTCACAGTTGAAGTTTTACAATAACTGGGGTCTTACTGACTCACTACTCACTGTACAAACAGAATGCACATATAAATGAGGCCATTCTTGTCTTTTCCTTTTTTTTAAAATGTGTCTCACGCCAGACTGAACAGCTTGCAGCAGGATGTGTGTATATTTGTGTGTACAGTATATGTGTGTGTGTGTTTGTGTGTGTGTGTTTGTGGTAGGTGTTGCATGTATGAAAAAAGAGCTGGATGTAAATGGCAGCGAACTTTCTAACAGTCTGTTTTTTATTTCTACAGCAAATGTCAGTTCATGACAGCTGGACGCAGAGACAATCGATATGTTCATATATCACCTCTCTAATCCATCTATGAGGTGATGTATATACATCCTGATCTTAACTGCAGGTATCAGAATAGAGTGCTGATCCTATACACATTATGTACAGTTCCTATAACCCCCTGGCTTGGTCCCTTTGCAGCCTCATAAAGATAAACCCTCCTTCCAAGCAGTTTATCAGTTTGCACACCAAAATCCCATATTTACACGATGAAAGCCCTCAGCAACAGAAGTGCAATGTTCTTTATGTTTGTAATTTACACAATGGCTTTGTTGATGAAATGCATGCCGAGCTTCAATAACTACCAGCCAAACATGGAACAACAAGAACACGTCAACATCAGGAAATTCCAAATTAATCAAAACCAAAGGAGAAGTCAAAATTTATAGGCTGATTCTTTTTCCCCATCAGCTCACAGTGAATAGGACACATGATGATCCATGCAGTGCATTGTTGGGGTACTTTCTCACAAAGAATGACTGTAGACATTTGAAGCACTACAACACACACCAAAATAAACAGATTCCTCGGTTTTACATCGTCCCAAGATTTCAGAATTATAGCAAAGATATGAAATCACTGGAAAGACACATTCAACTGATCATTAATGTCCCATAATGTGATATGTCTGTCATCTGAACTTTCCTTGTTAATTCCCATGAGGAAAAATGTGTGAGAATAAGCCTGACTTATGGCAATGGTTTTATTTGTGAATGTTAAAATACATTTTACAACCTGAATATCGGGACAAACAGTTTACTGTCACTAATTTACACACTAGAATAGACTCTTATTTGTAGAATGTAGAAAGTTATTCTTTACATATACCCAGTTCCTTTGTTCAGTTTGCATTTTGTATATTATAATTGCATTTCCTGAAAAAATGAAAGTGTTCTTCCATATGTGCTTATCCAGCAAAATATTTCTGTTCAGCCCCAAGAGAAGCATATTCCTTTTATTAAAATATATACACACATTCCTCTTTCCACTGTGAACTGTGTAAGTAAGTATTTATATATTCCTAAATGAAAAAAGTTTTTTTTTTTTCACCTGAATCTTGTCTTGGAAAACAAGATAACAAACTTTCACTCTTAGTACAAGTCTGCATTTTCTGAACATGATTGCACTTAAACTTGCTATGGTAACACTGATTTGTTATACAATGTGCAGAGGATAGCCTCACATTAATAACATTACATGCAAAAATCACTTACTAGACATTCCACTGAACTCCAAGTCTGTACCTCTCATTAGACCACGAGGACAGCCACACATTAATTTACTGAGAAAGACTCTGACAGGGGTCAAAAACAAAAAATAAATAAATAATGACGCAACATTAAAAAAAAAAAAAAACGCACAAATTGGAGGGACACCTTGTTCTTAATGTACAAAATCAGTACAAAGATATTGCACATATGATAGAAAAAAGATGAAAAAAATATTTTTACTATGCAAGAACTGATTTTATTCACTCACCAAACCTTGCTGGTGAATAACATAAACATACTAAACAAGGCAAAAGAAGATTTCAAAAGTGTTTCTATTTTTGACTTGAAGAGTCAAGAGAGCAGCTGTCGCATATGTTAAAGGCAACAGACTTAACATGTTCAACACGTTCTGTGGGTCCATTTGTAACATAAACTGAGCCTTCAAGTGTGTTTAATGTCTTTTCACTCTTAATATTCATTATTATTTATTTTTTTACAGTTCAAGCAGCCACAGTATGAGTAGTAAACTGAGATTAAAACAACCAACCAGCCCTGTTTATCATTCGTGAGAGTTGACAGGAAAAGTCTGCTTTGAGGCTTCAGCTGTGACAGCACAGCGTTTTGAGGCCCATATGCGACAGCTGCCATCCAGAAGCTCCTTCTGATCCATTTGAAAGGCAAAAGTTCCAGAATAGATTATAGGCCGGACTGAATGGGAGTTCACTCCTTTCAGATCTACATCCTGTTACCACAGAGTCAGTATAATACTGATAGAATTCATTTTTGCTGATAATAATAATTGTAAGTATAATCTTACAAATTACTTTACGCACAATATACTGTACATGAAGTCTTGACTAAATAGATTATGCATTAATAATTGGCACATTTATTTATGAGAGCTAGGAGACAACACATATAGCTGTCATCTACAGTAAATACAGCACTAGAACTACAATGACTGAGACGGTCGACTCAGTTGTTTAACCTGTCCTTTGATTTAAGTTAGTGTGAAATGATTATATCTAGGTTCTCCACTACATATGAGCTCTACGGGAGGCAACAACAAATTGCATTCATATGATGGTAGGATCTGCAAACCAATTGTGACAGAGAAAACAGTCAGCCATGTTCTCGTCTCAGGTCGTCTTTCCTCCTGATTATGTGAAGGTAAGACAGGTTATTGAGGGAATGAAGCAGTGGAGAGCGGCTTGGTGAGAAAACACATTTTCTCTCCAGCCATCACGGCCGAGTGGTGTGTGTGGAAAACATAGAGCATCTTCCTGTACAGAACCCCCACAAAGCCCTGATGGGGCCAGGCCCATGATCAGGCAAACTAGTAAAAGGCCCCTGGTGGAAGATTTGAGTCCGATTTCCATCCTGCATATTAGTTGGACCTGGAGGTGAAAAAGGTGACTGCATGTGACTGGTTTCCATCACAGCAGCAGTAAAACACAGTGGACAGGCCATAGAGTTATGCTGTCAGTCCCTTTGGTGTAAGCAATTGTCCCTCCTTCATTAAGTTCCCTCCTCGCTTCTCCTCTCTGTGTTAGGAGCATCACACTACGGTGCTGATGCCACTGTGTTTGGGTTTGGGTCCGCCAGGTGCCGAACCCGCTTGCTGACTGTGGTGGTGAGGAGCATGCTGGGAGTGTGAGGCATGATGGGAATGCTGGCTGTAATGGCTGTGCTGTGAATGGGCGTGTTGGTGTGCGTGTGAGGCGTAGGCTGGGTGCTGGTGGTACTGTGTGTGGGGCGGGGGGTGGTAGTGGTGGTGGTGGTGGTAAGGCGGAGGGTTCTGCGGGACTTGGCAGTACTGGGAATGGGGACCATGGAGTTGGGCCTGCACTGTATGTGCTACCTGTGCTGTGTGGTGCAGGTTGGTCGGGTGGGGCTTGTGGGATATGAGAGTGGGATGACCGGGTGGAGGGAAAGGAGAGTGGCTCTGAGATGACGGTTTGCCTCGCTTGCTGCCAAAGAGCGACCCAAGGATGGAAGTCGATGCTGAGTTAGGGATGGAGGGATGGCCGCGTGGTGCGCCCTCACGTGGCGTGGTGGCTCTCCGGCGTGTGTGTGGGCTGCTAATGATGGACCCCTGCAGGCAGGAAAAAAGGTAACAGCATGTCCGTCAGACTCTGTGCAAGTGCTACTGCACAACAGCTACTAAACTGCAGCTACAAGGCACCAGCAGGATGAATTCACAGTTTTCTCATTTCAGGTAAACAAGTAGCAAAATGTTATAGGGCATGCAAATGAGAAACTAAAAATGTTTTCATGGTAGGCAGCAGCAACACTAGGAATACTTCAGCTTCAAGATGAATGGTGCCTATATTCAAAAGAGCTGTGCTGTTAAGGCACTAACTGGCTTGAAACAGAAAATCTGTAACAAGAGTAATTACATAAATTAATACCATTCAGAGCATAAATAATGACATTAACAGGGGTAGAAAAGACAACATTTCATCTTCATTGCAGTCAGTGTGCCAAACCCTCTAAGAGTCACACATGCAACTTGTTATATTTAATGGAGGCATAGTTTCCACATGCAGAGGATGTGACAGGCAAACTTGTCATCCACACATTAGCATTCAACTAGAAGTCAGAAGGCAGGAGAAACTAGCTCTTGTGTGCAGACTTCACAACAGGCCTGGACACTTTCCCCCCTTCTCTGGGTCCAACACTGCTCACTATCCAGATATGAATTCTCCTGATAAAGCGTTTCCTTTGGCACATGCTTCATCTAAGACTGGAGAAAGACCGTATGACGTTTTTGAAAGCAGAATGAAATTTTCAGGGTCCCAGACTTCAACCCAACACATGAACTGATGGACACATGAAATGAGGGAAAGATGAATGAATGAAATCCACATCTTTATAAGTCCGTGTGAAGCCCTTCAGCAGACTTCTGACTATGAAGGCTACGTTCCTCCCTGAACCTTACAGCATTTAAGAAGTTGTGGTTAAGGAAAAAAAGAAAGACCCGGACAGGGAAAGGGGCTGCAGAAGATGTACAGTTTCCTAGTGTCTCACAGAGCTACCACCCTGGCACAGAGAAGAAGAACCAAATGAAAACTGCTTGGATATGATTGAATGAAAGACAGAGACAGGCGACAAGGGGAGGGATCAGAGGAGGGATTAGTAGAGTCATGCTTGTTTGAAGATAAAGTGTATATTGGTCATATAACATGACCAAAACAGGAGATCTCTGGCTTCCACAAAGGGGCTAGGATCAGAGGCAGGCAACCCATGCATGCACACTAACTGAGGCAAGCAGGTTATAAGGCATCCCAGGAAGAAAAATAAATGATCCAAACAAATGGACTGAGTCTATGAAGCAAAGAAGGTGTAAGACCAAAAATAAATGGTGTGTTTTCACAGTGCACATCATCACATAGAGAGTAGCTTGGATACCAGCTGCTTCCAACTTACTTCCATATTGCTGTCTAGTGATCCTGCACTGCTGCGACGCCCCCGCTTGCCTGCCCGAGACATGCAATACCACAGATTAGAGATCGACAGCACTCCTGGATCGACTACAGACGTTTAGGCCGCCCACCAGTCCCGTAGGGGGCAGTGCAGTGGATTGTGACTGTGAGTAAGGTCCAAATATGGGCGGGAAGAGGAGAGCGCGTTCAGGTTTGGGTGGGTGGTGGGTGACAGGTGGTATTGTGGCTAACTGTATAGTGAAGTCACATCTTCACACTAAAGCTGCATTGAAATTTCAGTGATTTAGGTTTTTCAACGCATTTCGAACTGGAAGCTCAGTCAGGTGATACTTAAAAATGTTGAATGTATTTCCAGAAATCTCAACAAATATGGACTCCATGAGCATCAAGTCTAATAGACCAAGGAAATGTCCACAGTTAAGTTTTACCAAAAGATTGCGGGCTAAAAACTTTAAACAGGGTTGATGCCGAAACAAATTTTCTCCCAGATTTTTGACTTGAAATATGACAACTCGCTCTTAATGTTGTCACAAGATGTAGATTTTCAATAGGGTCAAAGTTGGCGAAAAGCCAGTCTCAGTGACAGTCACAAAGGAGGAGACACATCAAAAGCAATACAGTGGTTGTTGCACATGGGATGTACAGGCATATACAGGTCTGAGGGCGAACAGAGCACTCTTGCCGTTGTTAGGCACACTCAGCCAATGATACATGACCAATAATCACACATATACAGGAAAATACCTGATGTGTATGGAAATAACACAGTAAATACACATGGAATGGGAGTATGGCAGGAAAGGAAAAAGAAAACACTTAACAAAAATGACCCCACTAACATGCCACATCCTGCACTGAAAAACACAGGAGACAGGAGGGCTGAGGGACGTCTACACGCTTTTTCACTGACTGACCTATCATTTCCCATTGAGGTAGTGATCATGAGAACAAAGCATATCGTATTACCAACAGTGAGGCAGACCCCTGACTGGATTTCATTTTGTTATCAAGTTAATCACCTGATAACTTCACATAGCTGTTATCTGTAATGAATGAAATGTATTCTTGCTTCAGAGCGGCTGTGTTAAACACTGATATTCATGGATGTGAAATGACTGTTAACATCAAGACTGAGACTAAATCTTGATCTTGTTGCTGCTTAAAGAATGGTACACATCAGCACCGATTTGTTTGGTTCACAAATATACGTGAGAGGAAATGGCACATGATGTTTGAATAAAACATAGGATTATCATGAAATGTCTTTGGATAGAACAAACTTAGGAGTGCAAAAGTGCCAAGTTTAAAAAAAGAAGTGACGATTAAAACATGGATGGAAATGTTCTGAAATAAACTCCAAATGGTCAGGGTGAGAACTGCCTGTCAATTTCATTCATCACTGAGAAGACAAATCTTGTAAAACCGCATTTCTAAACATTTAACTTTCTTCTCAAATAGGTCTGTATTCAGTCTTGAATTGTAAAAATGTGGAGCACACCTTAAGTCTCTCTAAAACAAAGTAAGTACAAGAGAAGTTAAACATTGAAGGACACACTGTCCAGACCAAACTATCCGATCATGAGCGAGTTAGATAGTAGATTTAAAAAAGAAGAGCTCTAAAATCAATGTATGGTGCCGTGAAACAACATTTTGCTATTTTATCCCCTTGGTATCATCTCAGAGCGCTGGATGACAGAAGGAGAGTGCTTTTCCATTAAAGAACCGGCTGGAAAAAGCAAAGACGTTTTGGCTGTACCTGCTTCGGAGAGGTCTCGCAGGGAGCTGCTGAGGGCGCTCCTCTTCAGGCCCTCTCCCATGGCGTAGGTGTCATCTAGACTAGCGCGGTTCATGTTCCCGTTGCCAGCTTCCTTCTTCAGGCCGGAGCTCTGTGACATGCTGGGCCTTACCACCCCTTTCTGCTTCTCCAGCTCAGCTGTGGAAAGAACCCAGGGAAAGACTGAGGTAAGTGGCAGTGGTTTTACATCTCACTCTGGCAGTGTGAATGTCAACTATTGATCTACATCATTCAACATCCTATTCATGTGTAATGACAGATTGCATTTTGAATGTCCAGAAAAAAAAACACAGCTCTCCTTTCTGTTAGCCATCCTGTGAACTCTGTAAAAATTCTCCCTCGTAAAGTGCCGCAGTTGAGTAATGAGGAACATGCCCTGTTTCTACTTTACACCGCCTGAGGTAGACATAGTGAGAGGGGGGATGGGAGGGGGTGGAAAAAAAAGGCAGCTCACACTCTATTCTGTATTTCTCCATTTCCTGGACTTCGGCAATGGACTCTCGTAGGTCATCTGTGAACTTCTTGCGGTCCTGGGGGTTGGGTGCGTTAAAGTTGATGAGGACTTTGATGTCCGCACCTGGTATCGCTGATGTAAGTCTGATTCCATTTGGGTAATCTGGGGCAACGGCAAAAAGAGAGGGAGAGACATTTACACAGGGACCATTGATCAAAACCAAGTTAAAACACATTGGACAAATCTGTCTGAAGTTTGAAGTATAAACAATGTCACAGCCCATTGGTTTGACTCCCCATTTCTGCTGGATGTTTTACCGTGCTAAATCAAACCCTGTGATGTAAACACTGTTAGCTAAAACACATCACAGGGATAGAGACAGAATAAAAGCAAATGCCACTTACACTGATTTTCAAACAGCATGACTTGCATCCCATACAGAGAGAAAGACTGTCGGAAGCTGTACGTTACGGAGTTCTTCTTTTTCTGAAAAATCTTGGTTACCTGAAATCATGTAAAAAGAATATTTGAAGGGCTGGTCTAAAGAGAGAGGAGAGGATATGAGAGGATAGAAGAGGAGGGGGCTTTTACCACTAGGAGGTCGTTGAACAGGAAGATCTCCCGCTGATGCAGGCCCAGCTTCTGGAGTTTGTTGGGATCTGGAACTTCAAACAGGCGGCAGTAACACACCAGCCGGCGATGGGGCAGCGACAGCACCTACAAGGCAAGGGAAAAAAAGCACAGATACCAACATTTCAGAGGTCATTATGGCCTCAGTCCACAAGGTAATAAGAAACAGAGGTCACCTCTTCTTCTGAGCAGAATTTAAAGAAGGCGTAGGTAAAGGACAAAAAACAATAAACAATGCTTTGTTCCGTCATTTTTACACATATTAAGTTTGTTTCACCAGTTAAAGTTAACTGGTAACATAGCATGAAGTGTAAATATTGTTGCTATGGCTACCTTAATTTTTCTATAGGTTACTTGATGCACTGATATAACCTGTTAAACTGTTAACCTAAACTTTGAGGAGTCCTAACATACGAAAACAAGTATTGACCATGGCAACGGTACTGTATATCTAGCATTAATGCATTACAAAATAATAACGGCTAGTGCTAGGTCTGTGACTGGAAGGTATCTGCATGGTAGATGCCATGCACCCTGCTGAGCACAGAATCTGTAAACACTGCAGCTCAATGCCGCCCAAAAATGTATCGTTTATCGTTTCTGCCTGGAGCATTGACTACTCATCTCTCAATAACAGATGTGGTGCTTCAGGGTGAAAAAGTTCCTGTCTCTTTAGGTAATATGACTCTAAAACTACCTGTATGATGTGTATTATCTGCAATGTTCAGAGACAGGAAGCTGTGCACATACAGTGAAATAATGAATGACAAATGATCAAATATATTTAGATTTATGGATATTTAGCCTACTTACACATCCCAGGCCATGGTGGAGAGATCCGATCTAAAAAAGGGAGAACAAAGAAGATGTTGCAGCTGTTATGTTACTATTGCCTTTCATAATATGAAAATTCAATCTCTCTTGCTTACTAATGAGCACATATAAGATTTTGCCGTTGCAGGCTATGCACCTACACCCTTGATGATGCATGCACCTCTTGTGTTCTGTATATAGGGTGGAGGTCTTTCTCTGCTGCTGGACTCGAGGGAGTCTGTAGTGATGCTGGAATGAAAACAGATCCTCCTCTAGAAGCCCACTCTGAGCAGCACTAGTGGACCTGATTATTACGGAGAGGAATTCCAATGTCGTTTTATACTAAAGTGTTTTACTGAGAGTCCTCCTGGGCTTTTAATTCTGCAGCTAAATAGTGACGAGGGATCATTTTTCAACATTAATACATATATTAAATTATTACTGGCAGAGCACCCTATCCATCCCACTGGAAACCAACTGAAACAAAGTCCTCTGTGCAAGACATGCCTCTCCCTGAGGCTGCATAGGTTAATCACATTTTTAACCTTCACACATGAAAAAGACATCATTGCCTGCAGAATAATGCAGAAAGGCTGCTCCCCCTGCTCCTGAGAGACTGGAGCACAGTCAGAAATAAATTAGATAATGGCTCTTGTTCAGTATTCATAGACAGATATAAACTGTCTAATGATTAATGAATCAACAAATTATTGCAACGTAGCGTATGTAACGTATGTCGGTTAATTAAATACTGGTATCAACCACTTCTCCCTCTACAACTAAGTAAGAACTATAATGTGCTAAGGTGGCAAAAAGTGCCCATTTTTCATCAGACTGCAGCACTGGGTGACATCTCTCAAGGGCTTTGGGTGTGTTAAAATCAGCAGCGTGAAGGTCTAAGCCCAGGCATGTCTCCCCTATCACACAGTAATACCCAAAAGTACAAAGAACTTAAATGTTCTAAATCTCCCTATTCCTTATATGACTTAAATTCTGTAGGTTTTGGGGTCAGTAAATCAGGAGTGAAATTTCCATTTATTGAAAGTGATTCTAGGTAGATACAGCTCTGTGAGTGCTGATTAAAGAATAATCAACACTGTCTACATCTAATAGCCCAAAGATGCCTCAGAGACTGATTTCATGCCTTTTATTTTTTGGGCTTTTATTGCCTTCATGATAGTGACAGTCGAAGAGAGACAGGAAAGAGGGGCAGAGAGAGGGGATGACA